CTCTAATATTCCCTGTCTTAGGTAGCATCCTGCCCCCAAAGTATTGTCCGTCAGTGGCTACACAGACACATAGCCCTAGACCAAGTATTCCCAGGACTGACAGTGCCAACGAGCCAGACCAGTGCTGCAACCATTTAGCATGCACTAACTGGGTGCTAAAATTAACAAAAGCAGTATTCCAAAGCCCTCTCATATGACGGTTGAGTTCCATAACAGTAGCAGAAGCATGCAATACAGTGCCATGAGTAACTCACATAACAATATTAACTATTGAAAGTCCAAAGATAGTTCACTTGCTCCTGAACCAGAGCCACTTGTTGGTTCAAGGTCAATATGCCCAATTGAATATGTCCATTAAGATAATTTTGAATGTCCAAAGCCTTGCTGACTCTTTCAGCCTGCTGGTCAACAGTCTCAGCTGTCTGCACAGGCTGTGAGAGAGCAAGTTCAGCAGCAGTAGCTGTGGTGGCAAAGCTCTGCTCCAGCTACCTTCTGGCCCTGTTGTGGGAGCTGCGGGCCGGGCCTGCTTTTCGTCCCGCCCAGCTCCCACACGGCTAGCTTTACCCGAAATAACAACACACAAATTGTATTCTTTTAAACACTGCTTGGCCCATTATATCTAGCCTCTTCTCGGCTAACTCTTGCACCTGGACTAGCCTATTTCTAATAATGTGTGTAGCACCCCAAGGTGCGCTTACCGGGAAGATTCTAGCCTACGTCCATCCTGGGTCGGAGCCTCATCGCGTCTGCATCAGAGAGCAGAGCTATCGAGTCTGAGCTCACTTCCTCTTCCTCCCAGCATTCTGTTCTGTTTAATCCACCCACCTATGTTCTAACCTATGAGGGACAAGCAGTTTCTTTATTTTTTAACCAATGACCTTCCTCCATCATGGCCCTAGCCGCACTCACTCTGGATCTAAACTGCTACATGGAGTGGAGCAGAACTCAGGGAAGCAGGCTCACTGCTTCTGCTCCAAAACCATTGAAGGGGCCCCACTTTAGCAACCTTTTAGGGAATTTGGGCATTGTCAACCTGTCTGACTACTTCCTGCTGAGCGGGGGGTGCTGCATTCTTGGGAGTATTTTACATCAACATTTCAGGGTGTCTCGATGATTCAAACCACATAAATTTGCAATGAATCCACAGGTTCTCATCCTCTGTGGAGACAAAAGCAGAACCTCTTTTCCAAAGCATCAAATCCTTAGGCCCATATTTTAAAGTCAAAGTACCTTTCTTAGAAGTTCCCAGAATAAATTGTCTTTCTCCAGTCCAGAACACAAAAGACAACACAATCAACAAAATAATATATATATCTCTACACATTCTATCTTTTGAGATCCTCAATTCACCTTCCTGCCTCCTTTTTATTTCTTCTCTACTGGTCAATCTTCCAGAGGGCATCCCTCAGAGCATCTCTGGGGATGAAGACACACATACTGCTTTTAATCTGACTTGGCTTGTTCCCAGTCTAAAACATTTAAACCCCCTCCTGTACAAAATCTTTGGCTGTCTTCCTTGTTACTTCTATGCCTTGTTGCTTTAAGAGTTTCAGTTACTTTTTGAAGCCTTTCAACTCACCCTCTCGCCTTTTTATACTTGCTTATCTTTTGGAAGATGTCTCTCAGAGTTATCTCGGGGGATGAAAAATTAGAACACTACCTTCCCCAATACGCTCCTCCATTTAGCTGGTGGTTGGAGCTACCCCGTTCACGTATCCCCACTTTCCAGATCTCAGTGGGACCTCCACTTGCTGCAGCCAGCGCAGCCTGGATAGCCAAGACTGGCTGGGGTGCCGGGATTGACACATGGAGGCTTCTTTTCAGGTGGAAGAACAGCAACCTTTAGTTTGCCCAGCAACCTTTTATACCTCTACTCCTTCTGTGGAGACCCACTGGCCAGAAAGAACACAAACATCCTTGTCAATTACAGACCACAAGGAAGTTTCGCTGTCAGTCAGGGGAAGTGAGGGCAACTGGATCACAAAAGTACCCATTGATGACACATTTTAGGTACATTTTTCATGTTTAAAAAAAATTGGTATTTGAATAGGCAATAAGTTCTTATTGTTCAACTTTTTTCTAATTTTATTTTATGTGTATGAGTGTATGCGTATTTTGCCTGAATGTTTGTATGTACACCATGTATATACCTGATGCCTAGAGGTCAGAAGACAGCGTCAGATTCCCTGGAACTGAGTTATGGATGATTGTGAGCCAGCATGTGGGTGTGGAAAACCGAACCCCTGTCCTCCTCAACAGCAATCCATGCTCTTAACTACTTAGCCTTGTCTTCAGACCCTTGTGGTTCAACATGTTAAAAGTATGCAACCAGGCAGTGTTGGCACACACCTTTAATCCCAGAACTTGGGAGGTAGAGGCAGGTGGATCTCTGTGAGTTCAAGTCAGTCTGGTCAACATAGCAAGTTCCAGGATAGCTGGGGCTATACAGAGAAACCCTTTCTTGAAAAAAAAAATTATTCAAAAATACATAGCAAAAGGGTCAAATATTTTCCCCATTTCTAAATAATCAGCTTTTTCATGTTATTTTTGTCTGTGCATTCTCCTGGGTACATTCTATGCATACATATGTAAATATAGACATATATGCGGGTATTTATAGCCCTGTGTATCCAATGTTAGCATAGTTCATACATTGTTCTATATGCCTTTGTTTCACCAATACTGTGTATCTTAAAGATCACTACATACACATTCCAGTTACCTACCACTTCATTAAAAAAAAAATCACCTCAATATCCAATAGCTTGAACAGGAGCTTACCATAATAAAAATGTGGAACTCTAAAGTGTCTTTAATAGTTCTTAGATTGTCTGATCTTGACTAGGCAGTTCTTCCTCAAGGTCTGACATTCAGCTTTTGTCAGACATTGAGCCATGAATGAAGTCAGCCAGGTTTTCTCACTCATATACTCAGGAGTAGATACTGGCTATCAGCTACAAATTCATCCTCATTACCTACAGCTCTAATGCCTTCAGATGATGCCCCATATGTCCTTCCTCCAGCATGATGACAAGGTTCTTACAGAGTTACAAGAGAAGACAGGGTGGAAACTATATTTTCTTTGATAACCTAGCCTCAGAAATTATCCAGTCTCTCTGTTACCAAGCAGACCGGGTGGTGTCCTTTTGTTTTTCTTGGTTTGCTTTCTGTATAGACCAGACTGGCTTTGAACTCACAGAGATCTCCCTACCTCTGCTTCCCAAATGCTGGGATTAAAGTTGTATGTACTATACCCAGCTCTTCCATTTCTTTTTATGTAGTGAGGAGCAGCAGGCATGCTTTTCGTCCTGCCTGGCTCCCACACAGCTAGCTTTATACCCGAAATAACAACACACAAATTGTATTCTTTTAAACACTGCTTGGCCCATAGCTCTAGTCGCTTATCAGCTAATTCTCACATCTTGATTAACCCATTTCTAATAATCTGTGTAGCACCACAAAGTAGTGGCTTACTGGGAAAGATTCAGCATGTCTGACCTGCATCCATCTTGGGCCGGAGCTTCATCGCATCTGACCAGAGAGGAGAGGCATGGCGTCTGGCTCACTTCCCTTCTTCCCAGTATTCTGTTATGTCTACTCTACCTACCTAATTTTCTGACCTATCAGACCAAGCAGTTTTCTTTATTGATTAACCAATGAAACAACAGATTGACAAATGACCTTCCCACATCATTTTTATTGATGACTAAATAAATTACATTAGGGTGGTTTGCAGGAGCATTGGTGCCTACCTTTTATGTTCTTAATAGATATGAAAGACTGTATTATTTAAATATATCATAATTTATTTAACAATACTCCTAATAATGATGAACATTTGGGTATTTTCTAGTCATTCACTATAGCAAACAGAGTTTCTGGTGAATTACCTTTTAACTGAAATTGCTTCATATATATGGAAAGAATTTATTCTACAGTTAAACCACAAGAGCAGAAATGGTGGGTCGTATGGTAAGGTAATTTAAGTATTGTAAGAACTGCCAGGCTCTTTGCAGAATTTGCAAATAGCTGTCTAGAGGCATTGCTTCAATCTTCACTCCCACAAGGGACTGTTTAAGTGATAAGCCACATCAATTTGGGGGCTTTTTAAGAGCTAGATATAATAAAATGTTATCTTGATATAATATGCATTTTAATTTTTCTTACTACATGTGAAGTTGACTGCCTTCTTCTATATTTATGGGATACCAGTGTTTATTTTCCTTTGTTGTTGTTTACTTTATCTATTTTAATTTCTTTATTTGTTTTTAGCTGAATTGGCCTATGAATTACAATTATTTTTCCTCTTTTGTAATTTGTCCTGCACTTTGCATACTGTCTTCAGTAAGAACTCTTTACTGTTTTGTATGTATAAAATTACTGAACTCAAGTTTTGTGGCTTCTGCTGATGTTTCATAGCTAGAAAATCCTTTTCCTTCCAGCATTATGAGCTAATTTCCCTTAAGTTTTTTTTATCATTTTAATATTTATGTCTTCACACATTTAGAATTGTAAGATACACTTTCAGGCACTGATCCAACTTTTTCCAGAAAGCTACTTGATGCTTTTAACATCATTTAATAAGTAATCTACATTCATCATATACTAAATTCCCAATTTCAGATAACTTTCTATATCTCTAAATTGATTTGTGTAACAGTAATTGTATAATAATCACATATCTGTCTCCTTTCAACACAAACCAATTCTAATGTTCATAAAATAATACAGTGTGCTTTCAGAACTTAAACCTTTTTCAGTGATGTTGAAGCTTGAGATGTGGGTAAAAGAATGCATTGTGTCAAAGCATAGCTAAATTATAAAATTGGTGTCTTAGACATTTAATTTCAAGATTGGGAGATTGACTCTTATGGTTTTATAAGTGTTTTTAATAAATAGTTTTTTACTAAAAAAAAAAGGCCAAAACAGGCATATCCATTATAACAGTAAAAGAAAATATTTTTCTCATTTTTAATGTACTCCCATTTTTAAAATTCCAGAGGACCTGACTGGGACACTGAATTGTATGAAGAAGGAGGTGCTACTGTCAGGGAGCTTCTTAGCGAACTATATGGCAAAGTTGGTGAAATTCGGCACTGGGGTCTGATCCGATACATCTCTGGGATCTTAAGGAAGAAGGTGGAAGCACTTGATGAGGTACTAATAAGTTCTTGAAATTACTCAAAATCTAAGTGGGGAATACTTTAAAACTCCATGCTGGGAGCATAGCACAAAGGTAGGGTAGTGCTTACTTTTCCTGGAATCCTCGGTTCAAGCCTTTGCACTGCAGAGGGATACCTTGATTTTCCTAATTGTTTTTTAAACAACTGCAACTTCTAATTGTTTTCAATTGCACGTAAAGTTTCTGATACTCAGCTTTTTATTTGTGAATGTTTGGAAATCTGAAAATTTTGGAAAGGGTAAGTAAGCTCTGCTCCCTCTTCATAGGCCTGCACAGACCTTCTCTCATACCAGAAACACCTGACGGTAGGACTTCCTCCAGAACCTCGCGAGAAGACAATCTCTGCGTGAGTGGGGCATGTGGTTGGCTTTTTATAAGGTTTCGCTGAGCCTTTAAGAAATTGGGTGAACTTGCCACAATTCTCTTGTCCTAATTTGTATACACCTTATATATACAGAGCTGCAGAACAGGAAAATGATGGGATACAAGCAAATGAAAAGAGAAAACTTATTGATTTTTCTAAATCCCTTAATTCTACTCATTCTAAAAACACACAAAGCACAGAACATTGGGAGTTGACAACATAAAAGGCAACCACAATCTGAAAAAGAAATAGAAGAAAGTATATGGCTAGAGCATTGGGCTGTTATATGCACCTCTATGCTGCTGAAGAAGGAATCAAAGGTGTGAAGGTTAAAGTTGAAAGGGGAAATGGGCACTCACAAAGCACCCCGAGTGCACGGCTGCAGGAACACCACCATCAGCTTCTTTCTTTGTAGCCATTATGCTTATTTGTCACATGGTAAAGATTAACAGTGAAACACTGGTCTGGAAAGACATCGAGGGGTGAGTTTTAAATGAAAGTTCTGTTAATATGGCAAGAGTGTGCCTCAGAGGCAGGGCGTGGGAGTTTTGCTGTGAAAGAACTACACTTGGTAAGCTGTTGTGGCAGGGGTTTGGACTTGCACTGAGGTTTTAATTTTTAAAATATATTTAGGCTAAATGATGGTAGACTTTGGACTTCATTCACTGTTTTCTTCCTTAGACCTCTACCATATGAGGCACTCACTAAGCTAATAGACGAAGCCAGTGAAGGAGACATGAGTATTTCAATCCTTACACAGGTGGGCAGCATTAAAAAGCCTAACCTGGCAATTGATGTTTCAGTATTTGTTTTTAATTGACCTGACAACTTGCAAAACAGACATTGTGACACTCTAACTTTTGTTTATATCCATTCTGTACACAGGAAATAATGGTATATCTTGCCATGTACATGAGAACTCAGCCTGGCCTCTTTGCTGAAATGTTCCGACTTCGAATTGGTCTGATCATCCAAGTTATGGCAACAGAACTGGCTCACTCTCTTCGATGCTCAGGTATTCATTTAATTCAGTAACTAATTGTAAGTGGAATTCACTTCTAGGGCAGATCCATGAAGGTTGAAATCAGGACGGGAAGGAAGAACATTTTATTGATCCATTGTTGTTGATTATTTACTCTTTTTATTACTATTTTTTTTTTTTTGGCAGAGGGCCTGCCACTCAGCTACCAAATAAATCACACTGGCCTTAGCTTGGCTTGTTTCTAGCCAGCTTTTCTAAATTTAAATCATCCCCTCTATCTTTTGCCTCCAGGCTTTTATCTTTCTCTGTTTCTGTGTGCTTTTCTTTACATCTTTCTCTATGTCTTGCTGTGTAGTTAGGTGGCTGGCCCCTGATGTCCTCCTCTCCTTGTTCTAAGTTGCTCCTTCTTCTCCCCTCCCAGATTTCTCCTCCTATTTATTCTCTCTGCCTGCCAGCCCCGCCTGTCCTTTCTGCTGCCTTGATATTGGCCATTCAGCTCTTTATTAGCCCGTCAGGTGTTTTAGACAGGCAAAGAACCACATCTTCACAGAGTTAAAACAAATACAACATAAAAGAATGCAACACAACTTTGCATCATTAAAACAAATTTCCACAGCATAAACAAATGTAACACATCTTAAAATAATATTTTATAACAATCCATAGCTCAAAAACTGTGTAAGACTGTCTTGTTCTTGTGTTTCTTAGTAACTAAGTGAGCAAAAAGATGGCAACTTCAAAATGCCACTTCTTGTAGACTCTGCATTCCACATTCTTCTTAACCAAGTTCTTTTACCTGATTTCTTCCTGATGCCTCAAGGGCTTTAGAGACTGGTATTCTGTGTTGGGGTCTGATGGAAAGAAGGAAGCTTCTGGACATCAGTGTGAGTCACTGAGTGGTATATCAGAGTATTAATGGTCTGTCAGGATCATGATCAAGTAAGGAAGTATTTTATTAACACTTATCTAACAAATGTAGTAGTACTTTCTCATCAAGATTGCCAGTCTGCATGTAAAGACCCAGAGACTTTTTATTATGAAAGTTTGGCCTTAGCTTAGACTTGTTCCTAACTACCCTTTATAACTTAAATTAACCCGTATTTTTTTTTTATTCTACATTCTTCCACGAGGTTCATTACCTCATTTCCTCACTGTCCATCCTGTTTCCTCTGTGTCTGGCTGGTAGCTCTGCCTTTCATTTTCCCAGAGTCCTCTCTGTCCCTAGAAGTCCTGGCTAACCTCTTCTTAACTAGCTATTGGCCATTCAGCTCTTTATTAAACCAATCAGAAGGCACATCTTCACAGTGTAAACAAATATTCTGAAACATTTCTGGTTTTTTCTAAATAAAAAGGAAAGTTATCTCTAACACAATAAAACTATATACAATAAGAATCAGGTACGAATTACATTCACAACATCGAGTTTATTTGTATCTGGCAAATCCAGAGAAACTACTCTATTATCTATCTTATCTTGGTAAATTCAAAGTCTTGTACCTGATTTACTTCCTTTTATAACTATGGAAAACTGTAACTATAACTATCTAATCCTCAACCACTGAAAGGATATAATATTACCTGAAAAAACAGGAAGTACAGAGAAAGCAACTTCTAAACCTAAGAAACAACAGAAATACCTAGCTGCTTGGACAGTCAACCCAAGGTTCCTCTGTAACTTTGGGGCATCCATCTTTGGCCTATGGGCCTAGAACATCTGACAGACTTTTCTATGAAGCAGACTATCCTACCTTATCTTGGCAAAGTTCAGCAGTCACCTTCTTTTGCGCCCTGCTTATCCAATTTGGACAGTATACATATCAGCAATCAAGGCAAGGGCAATTTCTTGCCCAGTGGCTATCTTTGCCACAGTAAAAGTAAACTCCACATGAAGGTTCTTCAGTGTCCATCATTCTTTAATGAAGTAGATTGGTGTTGCCAGGAGCAGATATGTCTCATTGTCATGAAAAGCCTTATGTTATCAAAACATTTTTAAATGTCATAATCTGTACATCTTTGAGGTGTTTGAAGACCATCTACCTATTTGAAATATTTCTCTGATTGACCTTGAAAACATACCTAACATGACCATTAACTTGATTGTATAGATGACTAACTACTATCCTGTATATCTTTTATTATCCTAAATAGTTTTTAAGGACTAGAACTTTATGTTACATTTTTTTTTTTGGTTTTTTGAGACAGAGTTTCTCTATGTAACATCCCTTGCTGTCCTGGAACTTGCTCTGTAGACCAGGCTGGCCTCAAACTCACAGAGATCTGCCTCTCAAGTCCTGGGATTAAAGGCATGTGTCACCACTGCCTGCTTTTTATGTTACATGTATAAATGAGCTACATAGGTTCAATACATTAAACAAGTGTAGGAACATGAATTTGTATCAACATACAAAACTCCATAGCAATATTTGAGATTAATGTTCCTTCCCCACTTTTTCAAGAAAAAAATCTCTTAATCTAACCTACTTTGTTTAGTTTTTTCCCTGAGCATGACAAGTAACACCTTGCAGAAAAGTCCCCTAAATAATGACACACATCCATAGCCCACCCAACAACCAAAAATCGCCCACCCCACCTCTTGAGAATGGGAGTGTCATGTTCTCTAGACTGCTTCCTGTTGTCTGGGGGTGATGGCATCTTTAGGACACCCTGAGAAAATTTGGATAATGGTCAAGTCCTGAAAGAGCTAGCTGTATAATTTTTATTTTGTCTCTGTGTGATGGGAAAGTGTAGATAGAACTTATTTGAAGTCCCAGCTGGAGTAGTCTGTGATGCTGGACCATCTCAGCTAGCAGCTGAGATCTGGTTGTTCTGGATGCAGAACTTTGTAACAGAACTGTAACAGAAGCATTCGGAGAGCCTGAATCACCAGGGCTACTTGTCTTCATTGGTATCTGGTCTTTTTGTTCTGAAAACACACAAACTTTTAAAGGTAACATACATATCTGCATTAATATAAGTATGGAATGTGCGGTGTGTACAAGTCAGCTAAAGATTATTTTTTTATTTTATGTGTGAGCAGGTAAAAAAGCATTTGTCAACTTTATAAGTGCATTTGGACTATATAACCAAATTGCTATAGAAATATCTGTCTATATGAAAGTATGGCATGTAATAATGAGTCTTGAGGACTCTGTAGCCAACAAGATATATCATGTCTCATCCAGTCCCAGAGCTGTTCCATGACAAGGGATCAGCATATATGTCATCTGTCCTGTAGTCTTTCCTGGCTTCCTCTGGCATGTCTACAGCCAAGATCCTCAGGAGGTCTCCCACATCAAACCTGATCATTATAATTTTGAAGACGTTTAGGCTTTGCATTTCCTGTGGAAACAAAGCACAACCTCTCCCACAATGCAACACATTTCCTAGCTTTCATTATAAAGCCAAGACATCCCTAAAGTATATAGGCTGGTTTAATTTAGCAGTCTCTTTCAGAATCCAGTGTCTCTCAGCAGCAGCCATTCTCTGTTAATTAGCCTTTTAAAAAATCAAAATTATCAAAGCACCATATAAGGTACAAACTCCCTTATTATAATGTTTCCCATTCTTAAGTGGCTAATTTTTAATATTATTGATTTTTATTGAGCTGTATATTTTTTTCTACTCTCCTCCCTGCCTCTCTTCTGCCCTGCAACCCTCTCCAAGGTCCCCATGCTCCCAATTTACTCAGGAGATCTTGTCTTTTTCTACTTCCCATGTAGATTAGATCCATTTATGTCTCTCTTGGGGGTCCTCATTGTTGTCTAGGTTCTCTGGGATTGTGATTTGTAGGATGGTTTCCTTTGCTTTATGTCTAAAAGCCACTTATGAGTGAGTACATATTATATTTGTCTTTCTGGGTGTTGGTTACCTCACTCACAATGCTGTTTTCTAGCTCCATCCATTTGCCTGTAAAATTCAAGCTGTTGTTATTTTTTTCTGCTATGTAGTACTCTATTATGTAAATGTACCATATTTTCCTTATCTATTCTTCAGTCGAGGGGCATTTAGGTTGTTTCCTGGTTCTGGCTATGACAAACAAAGCTGCTATGAACATAGTTGAGCACATGTCCTTGTGACACAATTGAGCATCCTTTGGATGTATACTCACAAGTGGTATTACTGGGTCCTGAGGAAGGTTGTTTCCTAACTTTCTGAGAAATCACCACAATGACATCCAAAGGGGCTGTACCAGCTTGAACTCCCACCAGCAATGCAGGAGTGTTCCCTTTACTTATCTTAGGTTTGTTCCTAACTACTTCTTATAACTTAAATTAAATAATATTTTTAAATCTGTGTTCTTCCACAAGATTACCTCATCTTCTTACTGTTCATCCTGCTTCCTCCATTATCTGGCTGGCGACTCTGCCTTTATTCTTTCCAGAGTCCTCTCTGTCACTGGAAGTCCTGCCTAACCTCTTCCTGCCTAGCTATTAGCCATTCAGCTCTTTATTAAAATAATCATGAGGCACCTTGGCAAAGACATATCTTCACAGTGCAAACAAATACTCCACAACAAACAAGACTTGAAAATTATTTATAGATTTGCCAAGATAACAATTTTAGTTAGAAAAATAATTGGGGGCCAAGGAAGTTATACAACAGACTTGTCAAACAGGTTTATCTAACCTTGATAGTGCTACATAACCTTTGCCAATTATTAAGTTCATGCTTGAAGACCATGTAATTGAGTTTAAAAGAAGTGAGATAGTGTTGGTACACACCTTTAATCCCAGCACTCAGGAGGCAGAGGTAGATGGATATCTGTGAGTTCAAGGCTTACCTGGTCTACAGAGCAAGTTCCAGGACCACAGAGAAACCTATCTCAAATAAACAAACAAAAAAACATAAAGAAAGAAAAGAAAAAAAAACAGAGGAGGGTTGGGTGGTGGTGGCGTATGCCTTTATTCCCAACACTTGGGAAGTAGAGGCAGGCAGATCTCTTGAGTTTGAGGCCAAAAATTTTATCAATTTCTATTCTTGCAGATTGGTGTCTTCTCTGAATTCCAAACAATCACTGGTTATATTTCTCAGTTAACCTGTATATACAATATTTTGTTGTTTTTATTGTTTCTCTAGTTTACATGTTGTTCTATCCCTCCAAAATTAATAGTCAGCCTCTCAAAGTTAGGTACTATGTATTATACCTGCTTGTACTTACATTGCTTAAAATAATGACCCATATGTAGTATGCTCCTTGTAAATGAATAATGTTGAAGAACACATTCAAGTTATTTTCAGTATTCTTAGTAAATTCACCAACTCACCTCTGTTCTCTTTTAACCATATACACTGAGAAATTTTCAGTTTAACTGTGTGTGCATATACATTCATTGCTTTTCTCTGAATGTCTTCCATTCCTCTTGATAGCCTTCATTCTTCTCACCCTCATATAAAAACTGTATGGCGTTTCCCAGAAATGTTGTAATATGATGAAGAAGAAATTAGTGGGCAACCTAATCTAAAATCTAGGTAGTCAGTTCTTAAATAATTAAAATGTGGTGCTGTATGAATAGCCAATTTATGTTGTTAGAAATTTATTCTGTAACTGCATCTTCTAAAGTGAGTGACTTAGAAATCCTATTAAAGGAAATAGAGGGTCTAATCCCCATCTAAGAGGAGAGGAAAGGGCACATCCAAGTGAGAGACCAAGTGTGGTCACATGTGCCTGCAATTCTATCACGTTATAGACTGAGGCAGGAGGATGACAAGTTTAATACTAGCCTCAGTTGGGCCAGGCAGTGGTGGAGCACACCTTTATTCCCAGCACTTAGGAGACGGAGGCAGGAAGATCTCTGTGAGTTCAAGGTCACCTGGTCTAGAAAGTGAGTTCCAGGACAGCTAGGATATACAGAGAACTATGACATACAGAGAAACTATGTCTTGAGGAAAAAAAAAATTACCCTAGGTTGCATATTGAGATCCTGTTTCAAGGAGAGAATGGGAAGTAAGGAGGATATGGTGGGCAAACTAGAATTCCTCTGCATGCATTTCTGTTCATTAGCTGAAGAAGCCACAGAGGGCCTGATGAATCTGAGTCCTTCTGCCATGAAGAACCTCCTGCACCACATCCTCAGTGGCAAAGAGTTTGGAGTGGAACGAAGTGGTAAGACCCAAGCGCTGAATTTACACTTCAGGGTACTTCATTTTAATTTTCCATTTTAGGATGTTTTCCTTCTAACAGAGGGTATCTTGGCTCCCAAATAAATAAAACTTAAATGGATAAAACATTTAAAAGCAAAGCTATCTTTTGGAACAAGATTTGCAAACTAAAAGACAAATTCAATTTAAGAAAAGATTTTGGACTGGGGAAATGGCTCAATGGGTAAAGTGCTTGCCACACACACTTGATGATCTGAGTTTGGATCTATCACTTCTCCAAAAGCTGGGCTCAGTAGCTTGTGTCTGTAATCCTAGCTCACCCTTATCCTAGTCTGCCTATAGCAGTGTGGTAAACACCATGACCAAAAGCAACTTGCAGAAGAATACGTTTATTTGGCTTCCATGCACTTCAGGAACTGAAGTGGAGGCCATGGAGGAATGATACTCACTGACTTGCTCCTCATGGCTCACTTAGTCAGTTCTTTATACCACCTTTCCACAATATCCTGGGCCTTCTTACATCACTAATCAGGAAAATGCCCAATAGACAGTCTGTTGAAAGCATTATTTCAATTGAGGTTCCCTCCTCTCAGATGACTCCAGTTTCTGTTAAATTAACAAAACAAAGCTAACCAGGGGAGATGGGAGGCAGAGACAGGAGAATCTCAGAAGCTTGTGGCCAGCTAGCCTGGCATATGTATCATTGAATAGGAGAGGCTCTGTCTGAAACAAGGTTGAAGTCAGGGTCCAACACTTAAGGTTCTACTCTGCCCTCCACATGCACACCATGAGCAACATGTTTGCGCTCTCTCTCTCTCTCTCTCTCTCTCTCTCTCTCTCTCTCTCTCTCTCTCTCGCTCTCTCTCTCTCTCTCTCTCTCTCTCACACACACACACACACACACACACACACACTTTTTACAGAAGATTTGGAAATACAAGCATATGTGTAACTTCTTTTTCCTTAAATGATATGACAACTAAGTAAACTAATAGCTGTCATGTTTCATTAAAATTTTTATTTGCGCTTGCTTATTTATTGTCTGTCTGTGTGTATTGGGGGAGGGGTGCCACAGCACATGTATGGAGGCCAGAGGACAACTTGCAGGAGTCGGTTCTCTCCTTCCACCATGTATGTCCCACGAATTGAACTCAGGTCATCAGACTTTGTAGCGAGTGCTTGCACCTGCTGGGCCATCCCTCGTGTTTCTTTTTAACTATGTATTAAATTACCTTTCATTATCGTAAGTCAGGAAGACAACTAAAAATCCATTCTTAATCTTTTTTATATTCAAATTGGCAGTAATTCAGTAAAACTGATAATGTACGTGTATGTTTGCAGTCGCAACATATCCACTATATCCTTTCAACCTTAAATTCTAATATCTCTAAGAGTCTTTTACAAGCTAATCTTCATATGCACTTTTTACATTTTTATTAACAGGTTTTAATTTTATATATCACTGAGGGTACAAGCTTTGCTTTAGTACATGCTGTAGGTACTAAATCAAAACCAGTGTGTACTTTGGGTTTTTGAAGCATTATTCTTTTAAAGAAGGATAACAAGAACCTAACAAAGTTTTTTTTTTAAAAAAAAAGGATTATCATTTTTGGTTGTGAGCCTAGCCTTTAACGGCTGAGCCATAAACCGGGCGGTGGTGGTGCACGCCTTTAATCCCAGCACTCAGGAGGCAGAGGCAGGCGGATCTCTGTGAGTCGAGACCAGCCTGGTCTATAGAGCTAGTTCCAGGACAGGCTCCAAAGCCACAGAGAAACCCTGTCTCAAAAAACCAAAAACAAACAAACAAAAAAAAAAAGGATTATCATCTCCTATATTTAATCATTAATGTTGAGTTATTTTTTCAAGACAGGATGGCCAGACTTCAGCATGTTTTGTTTTTGAAGTCTGTTGTGTCCTTGCATGGCTACCAGGGACATATCTGACTGGGGTGATGAGGTAGTGAAGAAAAGACAAATATGTACAGACACACAGACACAGAAAAGCCGAAAGCAGTGGATTGGACTCTGACGGAGAAACCACAGCATCCCCAAAGCTCATTATATTTACTATATACAGTTGAATCGAGAGGTGTGGTTATTGCATACAACTGAACAAGGAGGCGGGTCTAGCTAAATCTCCATAGGAACAGTCTTAAGGCTGTAAACATCTGGGAAAAAAAAAACTAAGGTGGACATTTTCTGCAAACACTATCGATAGTCACATTCAGATCACCAAGGAGGACTTTTCTGTCCCTCTAAACCTCACCTGGGGAATGCTTTAACACTTCACACCCATGGGGCTAAGGTATTGAAATACTTGCCATGCCAGTGTCAACAGCACACGTTCACTTAGGAGTTCCTCCACTCGCCACAAAAGTTAGAAAGTATAGGAGCTGAAGAGACAGCACAGTGGCTACAAGTACTTACTGCTCATCTAGAGGATCCAAGTTCAGTTCCCAACACTTGTGTACAGCAGCTCACAGCTGCCTTTAACTCCAGCCACGGAATCCAACTCCCTCTTCTGCACATATGTGGCATACATTTATGTATATACATGCATGTGCATGCGTGCACACACACAAATACAACACACAAATAAGAATAATGAAAATAAAATTTTTAAGTTAGAAAATAATATTCCTCAGGCAGGAAGTATTTCTAAAATGCAGACTCTGAATTAGTAGGCCGGATATGGGACCTGTGGTGCTAATGGTACTGGTCCAAGAACTACACTGAAACAGCAAGGTTGCACTAGGATTTTTTAGGTTAAAAACAAAAGAAAGATGCACATGTAAGTCTTTTTAACATGGCAGAGAAAATTAGACAGGTTCTTTTTTATCTCTCATTCTGTACAGTTCGTCCCATTGATTCAAATGTGAGTCCTGCTATTTCCATCCATGAGATCGGTGCTGTTGGAGCAACAAAAACAGAACGAACTGGAATCATGCAGTTAAAAAGTGAGATAAAGCAGGTAATATATAACCTGAAAAAATATTGATGTAATCATAATTAATAATATTCTTAGCTGGGTGTGATGGTGCATGCCTATAACCCCACATGCAGGGCATAGAAGTTGGAGGAGCAAGAGGTCAAGGTGCGACAGCCTCAGCTAGAAAGCAAGATGGAGGCCTGTCCAGAATCCTGGAGAGGCTGTCCAAAAACAAAATCAAAACCAAAACATTATTTTAGAATCAAACTTTGTTAGAATAATTTATTTAGTTTCATATCCTCGGTGTAACTTGAACCATTTATTTTTCAGGTGGAATTTCGTAGACTGTCTGTCTCTACTGAGAGTCAGGTGAAACGACAAAGACTTTTTAAACATATTTCAAGCAGCCTTCAATTCCATATAGCATGCATGATTATGAGCTTTCCACAAGTAATAACAAGCCATGGAATCTCCCTCATAGCTACTATTTCTAGATAGCTTTCCCCTTTTTCTGGATCAAATGACTTAATTTTTGGAGGAATTGTCGCTGGCAACAGATAACAAGAAACCCTGGGTTCCCTTATTACAAGTAATGTGTAATTTATAATGTATTTTCTTTATAAAAGTGATAGACTTCCTGCTTTTAAGAATAGCTAGTTGGAGAAATAGATCAGCAATTAGGAGCACTGGTTGCTCTTGCAGAGAACCTGGTTTTCTTTCTTAGCACCCACATACTGGCTCGCAACAGTCTGTAACTCCAGTTCCAGGAGTTTTGGTGCTGTCTTCCACTGCATGCACATGGTACACAAATGTATATACAGACAAAATACTCATATGCATAAAACACAAATAAATCTTTTTAAAAATGGGGGCCAGAAAGATGTCTTAGTGGGTAAGAATACTTGCTGCCAGGTTCAGTTCTCAGTACATCCATGGTGGCTCACACCTGTCATTAACTGTAGTTCAAAATATCAGGTGTCCTCTTCTGGCTCTATAGGCATCAGGAACACATAATACTACAATATGTACATGCAGGTAAAACATGCATACACATAAATTTTAAAAATATATTAGTTACAGGTGGTGCACGCCTTTACCCCAAGTAGTCAGGAGGCAGAGGCAGGTGAATCTCTTGAGTTCAAGGCCAGTCTGGCCTACAAAGAGAGAGTTCCAGGACAGCCTGGGCTACACAGAGAAACAATGTCTCAAAAAAAAAGGTACTAGAGAGGATACCAGATTAGATGAAGGCTTTGTTTTTAATCTCTTTTGGCGGGGTTAACATGTGCAAAGCCCTGGGTTTCATCCCAAACACCATAAAAATAAATGACAGGATGGTTTTATGAGATTTTAACACAAAATAGGCTTTCTAACTACTATAGGAGAGAACCATTAAATGATACATACATATGAAGAGGAGGAACAGCTGCACAGGACTAGGAATCAATAGGAGTCACCAAACGATATGGCCTTTCACTGTAGGAAACACTGAATGACTTAGTGCATTAGTCAAAGAAATACCTAATAGCTTTTAAAATTCTGGGAAATCATAGTATTTTAAGATGTCCAAGTTGAGAAGGTGCTAATTTAATCCCTTCTAGTAGCGCTACTTTTTTACCATTTGAGAATTTTGCACGTGCATATAGTAAGTACATTTGATCAAGTCTGATCCTCAGTCCTTCCCTTCCACCTTCTCCATGTGCCCCTCCACTCTCCTCTCACAACTTCATGTACTATGTTTTTCAAACCCATTGAGTCCACTGAGTACTGCTAGTGGGGCGGGGGGTTGTATGGCTGTCTACTGAAGCATGAGCAGCCTTTTAGGGGCCCCATCCATAAAGGGAACTGATGTTTCTTCCCCCAGCAGCCATCAACTCCCGATAGCCCATCTGAGAGTGGAGTTTCTGAGCCCCTCCCTTTCCACGCTTAGATTTTGGCAGACTTGATTTTATGCATGGTATGAGTTCATGTGTGCAACAGCTGTGCCAGTTCTGGAAAGCACTGTTCCACGGTGTTCTTTAATCTTTCCACTCTCTCTTCTGCAGTGATCCCTGAGTCTTGAGAGTGTATATATAATATAGATGTCCCATTCAGGGCTGAGCACTCCACAGTCTCTTATTCTCTTCATGAGACCCAGATGTGGGTCTCTATATTAACCACCACCTACTGTAAAAAGAAGCTTCTTGCACTAATCTTGGAATGAACATGAGCACTTAGGGGGTAGTCTGATGCTATGTCCATTTAGACGGATGACGGTAGTAAGTTCTCTCCTAGGGCCTATGACCTAAAGACTATACTTGCAGAGATTATTTCTGTACTTATTAATAGCACTTCTTAAGAAAGACTTAAAACCCCTTCTGCTTTCAAAGTGGAATTATAGCAGCCTACACATTAAAAATATCCTGGATAGAAGAGGCAAAACAGATATTTTGTTTCTTTTAAAAGGGGGCCCTGAAGTCATTCAGGAGAATATGCCAGTGCTTGAAGCCTACTTTTGAAGAAAACTTGAGTACTTTTCTTAAATATCCTCTGGCGTTCATATTTTATACAAGGAACGATTGTAATAAGAAGATGGTCTGGAGAGATGGCTCAGTAGTTAGGAGCACTGGCTGCTCATCCAGAGAACCTGGGTTCAATTCCCAACACCCATATAGTATCTTACAGTCTGTTACTCCAGCCTCCGAGAAGCTGGCACCTTTTTCTGGCCTCTATGGGCACTGTATGCATGTGGTACACAGACATACATGTATGTGAAATACATTCATACTCATAAAATAAAAATATCAAAAATAGCTTAAAAGAAAAAAGGAGCTACTCTGTTTTTAACAAGTGTTCATGTTACAGTTTTTGCCAGGAAATTTTAATTACCTGAATTTTTTCCTATTTGAGAGTGGAAAGGTCAGCTTTAGTGCTGAAAAGTTCTTCATCGATGTGATTAGTTAGTGATCCTAGTTTGGGTTGACAGTGACAATAGTTTGGGGGTTTGTTTTGTTTTCTTGTGACAAGGTCTCTCTATGTAGCCTGGCTGTCCTGGAATAAACTCTGTAGACCAGGCTGGCTTCCTACCTCTGCCTCCAAAGTTTTAGAATTAAGGGCATGTAACATCACACCCAGCTCACATTATAGTTTTTATAGATGTCCAGTATTATTATAAATTCTTTATGTGATTGGAACTCAAAAGTCCGTGATGCCAGCTAGATGAAAATGATGGTAAACTTGACCTTTCCAGCTACTTGAGGGTTTTCTCCTACATATTTACTACCTATAGGCCTTCAAAGGGGCCCAAATTGTTAGGGCGATAATATAGAGGACAGAGAGACTAGATTGTCATTACTTTCTTATTTTATAGCATTGTTTTTCATCCTTACCTGCCCATCTGGTATTTTGTATTTTTTTTTCTGCCAATTCCCAGTACTCTTAATTTATAGGTGAAGATATTTCAGGGTAGTTTTTACTTATTTTATTCTTTGCCATGGCATTTGAAGTAAACATATTTTATTGGCTCTTTTATAACATGCTGGATAATTACTTAAATTGTCTGTAGTTTAATAATATTAATAATTTTTTAAACAAATAATTATTGCCTTGCCTCTCTCTTTAAATTTTTTATTTTCTCAATTTCTTTTATAGACCAGTGGTGGTCATCCCTCTGGTGTAGATTTGATGTCACCGTCCTTTCTGGTAACTAATCTTTTGTTATGTCATGTTACATCCACAAGTGCTTTGATATGCTGTTATATGGATCATAAGAAAGTATTTGAGTATATACAAAAAAACAAATTAGGGACTGAAGGAATGGCTCAGTGGTTAAGAACACATGTTGCTCTTGCAGAAGTCCTGGGTTCCATTCTCAGAACCCCATGGTGGTTCACAGCCATCTTTAACTTTCAGGTACTCCTGTGGTATGATTCATACACATAAAATAAATCTAAAACTAAAAAATCAATAATTGAAAACAAATTGATCTTGAACTAACATGACTATAGATCAATTCCATATAAAAGGGAGCAGTCTATTTCTTTCCTGATAAGGTAGGAAAGGGAGTTCAACTCCAACCTCTTTTTTATTTCAGAAAAATAATCAATTAAAAAGTTTTGTTATGTATATATTCATTCTTTGAACTGATGAAAGTGTGCATCAGACAGTGGACTAGACAACATCAACATCAGTTTGTAATGTATTTGAAAAAACCCTGTCTCAAAACGATGTGCTAGACTTTGTTGACTCCCATGGGAAGCCTTACCCTCTCTGAGGAGTGGATGGGGGGGGCGTGGAGGGAAGGTGGAAGAGCTGGAGGAGAGGAGAGAGTGGGAACTGGGATTGGTATATAAAATGAGAAAAGATTGTTTTATTAAAAATAATTAATTTTCAAAAAAGAAAGTAAAACCAAATTTTGGTCTGTATCCTAGTGATAGTGAACTAGAAAGACTGGGCTAAGCCCCAGCAGTCTGTTCTAATCCGCTCTTTAGGGGTCCTGATGCACTTTTAAATTTCAAAGTTACTCTAAGAAGTAATTTACTTAGTAAATGTGAACTAAATGCCAACTTTATGTCATACACTGGAGATATAGCATTGAACAAAATGGAAATGACTCGACGAAGCGCACAATTTAGGAAGATTCTTTTCTAAACAAATTTTTTGATTTTTGTTTTTTCTACTTTATTAGAACATAAGCTATGAAATAATGAATTTGATTATGACATTTTCTTGTACATATAAGGTACTTTTATCATCTACATTTGTCTGGTTTAAATTATAACAAGTTATGATTTAATTTCTCCCAAACTGAAGAAATTTAGAAGAGATCTATTGAAAATACTATTTTGAGTAACTTTAAGCAAATACCCAGCATTAAATAAGGAGGAGTTTGCCAGCTCTGTGATTTCCATGTTAATGATGACAGCATTAATGGATTTGGAAATTTAAAAAGAGAAGTTATTTTCTTGGAAAGTATTTCTATAATCCTTTATTTTGTGTTTATTTCTGAATCTAATCTGTCAAATAATCACTTTAACCAATGAATTTCCTCTTTTATTTAGCATAATTTTTCAGGGTTCTTTATATTGTTATAAATATTGCTATTTTATTCATTTTTATTGCAGAATGATAATCATTGTATTGTTACACCACATTCTCTTTATCTGTTTGCTCATCAGTTGATGGGTATCTGAATGGTTTTATGCACAGTGTTGCTATTAACCTTTATGTACAGATTTTTAGGTAGGTATGTGTCTTAGGGTATTTATTGCTGTGATAAAACACCATGCCCAAAAGCGATTTAGAGAGGATTATTTAAATTTGCATCACAATTCAATCACAGTCCTTCCTTGAGGGAAGTTAGGGCAAGATTTCAAACACAGCAGGCACCTGGAAGCAGAAGCTGCTGTAGAGGCCAGGGAAGAAAGAGCACTGCTTACTGGCTTTCTTCCCATGGAGTGTTCACCCTGCTTTCTTACATAGTTGAGGACCACCTGCCCAGGGCTCGCACCACCCCCAATGGGCTGGGCCCTCCCTCAATCCCTAATTAAGAAAATGCATTATAGGCTTTCCTATAGCCTAATTTTTTTTTTTTTTTTTTGGTTTTTCGAGACAGGGTTTCTCTGTGGCTTTGGAGCCTGTCCTGGAACTAGCTCTGTAGACCAGGCTGGTCTCGAACTCACAGAGATCCGCCTGCCTCTGCCTCCCGAGTGCTGGGATTAAAGGCGTGCGCCACCATCGCCCGGCTCCTATAGCCTAATTTTATGAAAGCATTTTTTTAATTAAGGCTCCTTCCTGAATGACTCTATCTTGTGTTGAGTTGACACAAAATTAACCAAATCTGTGTATTTTCATTTCTCTCAGAGTATAGTTATGTTTCCTGTCGCTGTGAAAAAAAAATACCTAACAAAAGTACTTACATTCACATATATACATATATAAACACTAATGGATAGATAGGATAGACGCATATAAGAGAGGACATGCAGCATTTGTATTTCTGAGTTTGGGTTACCTCAATAATTTCCAGTCATATATATTTCCTACAAATTTTCATAATTCATTTTTCTTTGCAGTAAAGTTCCATTGTGTGTATGTTCCATTTTCATTATTCACTCATCCCGTTACCCTGCTGTGGTGGCTAGACTAGCAATAAACATGACTGTACAAGTTTATGGTGGGATGTAGAATCCTTTGGTTAGATGCTCAGAAATGGTATAGCTGTGTTAAATGGCAGTTGTCTTTTGTCATCTTTTGAGAAGCTGCCACAAGGATTTCCAAAGTACCTACAGTCAATAAAGGCTCCCCTTCCCCCACCAGATCCTTGCCAGAATTTATTTATTTATTTATTCATTCGTTCGAACATTTTTTTTTTTTTGAGACAGGGTTTGTCTGTATATTCCTGGCTGCCCTCACTTTATAAACCAGATTAGCCTCGAACTCACAGAGATCCACCTACCTCTACCTCTCCAGTGCTAGGATTGAAGGTGTGCGCCACCACCATCATCAGACTCTGTTTTCTTAATGATAGTCAATTAGCCAGTGACTCAGAATGTCAAAGTAGTTTTAATTTGCATTTCCCTGATTCCTTAACCATTTTAAATTGGGCTTTTTACATTTTTGGGTTACAAGGATTCTTTTTATATTCTAAATGCAGCATCCTTATAGAATATGTGATTTGCATATATTTTCTCTTTCTGTGGATTTCCTTTACATTTCTATTTATGTTCTTTGAAGAACTAAAGTCTTCTGTTTTAACTTCCATTTTCTATTTTTTCTTATGTCATTCACATCTAAGAAATTGTTGTCTAAATCAATGCCACAAAAATTTAATGCTGTTTTGGACTATACACTATATTTTAACAATTTTATTAAAATAGCTTTAGCCCTTACATTTGGGGCTATGATTGTATTAGGAGGGGGAACTCCCTAAGACCATCTCCAGCCTCAGTAATTTACTAGGAGTCACAGAATTAATCACATAATCATAAAGGTATGATTAGTACATCAAAAGGATAAACAAAATCAGCAAAAGAAAAGGTACACTGGGTGAAGCCCATGGAAAACCACACAAGATTCTAGAGCGCTCCCACAGCAGAGCCATAGAGGATGCATTACAACCCCTCCAGTGCCCTGTCACAGCGTAAGTGCAGTGCTGTGAGCAGAATAGCTAAAGACCCAGCGCAGAACCCAGGCTCTTTGTTTGGGACTGGTCATGAAAACAGCCTCTGTCCGGCATATCCCCAAACTCCAGACTCCCAGGAGGAAAGCAGATGTTGGACATAAACTGCAGTGTTGACATAATCCCTCCCAAAGGCCACATTTCCACACTGCAGCCCAAGTGCCAGACCTGTAAAAATGACTTGCCAGAACAACATTCCTGTGTTCTGGTCTGCCTTGTTGACTCTATTTTTAACCACTCTCAAGGGCAGGCCCCATGGCAACATAAATGTACTCCATGAATTTTTTGGTTTTGAGTTTTTGGTGTTTTATTTTTCTGTAGATGTAATGTTTTGTTTGGTGTGGGGATTTTGTCTTACTCGCCTTTTGCTTGTTTTGATTTTCCTTTTTGTGGTTTTATTTGTCTCAGGGCTCTTTGTCTTTTTTCCCCCAAACAATTCCTTTGGGCTCTCATATTTGCATACGGTGTGCAAAAGCGTGCAGCTTCATTCTTTAGCATGTGGATGGCCACTTATTTAGCACCATTTGTTTCAAACACAATTTCTCTCCCTTCTAATGCTCTCGGAACTTTTAGTGCCTTCACTGTCGTCCATCGTGGACTCTTAACCCTCTGGAACCGGAGCCCAATTAAATGCTTACTTTTATAAGTTGCCATGGTCACAGTGTTTTATCATAGCAATAGAAAAGTAGCATACAGAGACTTATGTTAAAAGTCATAGACAGATAGAAGTTAGATTAAAGCCGATAAACAGACAATGTCCTGTATTATTGGTATTTTTATCATTGCTACTCTGAATCACCAGAGTACTTTATAAAATGATTGTACATTTCCCCAGGGAAGAGCACAACAATTAATTATCCACTATCAAATGGTCAGCCCTAAAAACATACATTCGAGTAACATTATACAGACTGAATAGGTTGTATTTTTTATTGATTTTGTTGAACTATGCATTTTTCTCTGCTCCCTTTACTTCTCCCCTCCCCTGCAACCCTCTCCAAGGTCCCCATGCTCCCAATTTACTCAGGAGATCTTGTCTTTTACTACTTCCCATGTAGATTAGATCCATGTATGTCTCTCTTAGGGTTCTCATTGTTGTCTAGGTTCTCTAAGGGATTGTGATTTGTGGGCTGGGTTTTTTTCTATTTATGTTTAAAAACCACTTAGGAGTGAGTACATGTGATAATTGTCTTTCTGTGTCTGAGTTACCTCACCCAAAATGATGTTTTCTAGATCCATCCATTTGCCTGCAAAATTCAAGCTGTCATTATTTTTTTCTGCTGTGTAGTACTCCATTGTGTAAACGTGGCACACTTTCCTTATCCATTCTTCAGTCGAGGGGCATTTAGGTTATTTCCTGGTTCTGGCTATGACAAACAAAGCTGCTATGAACATAGTTGAGCACATGTCCTTGTGGCACGATTGAGCATCCTTTGGATATATACCCAAAAGTGGTATTACTGGGTCTTGAGGAAGGTTGTTTCCTAATTTTCTGAGAAATTGCCACACTGATATCCAAAGGGGCTGTACCAGCTTGCATTCCCACCAGCAATGCAGAAGTGTTCCCTTTTCCCCACAACCTCTCCAGCATAAGTTGTCATCAGTGTTTTTGATCTTGGTCATTCTTACAGGCGTAAGATGGAATCTCAGAGTTGTTTTGATTTGCATTTCTCTTATGACTAAGGATGTTGAACATTTCCTTAAGGGTCTCTCAGCCATTTTAGGTTCCTGTGTTGAGAGTTCTAGAGCAGGTTGTATTTTATATTTAGAATACATATATGTATATGATGACAATTAAAAAGAGGCCACCAATTTGAAAAGGAAGCAAAGAGGGACATATGGGAGGCTTTGAAAGGAGAAAATGGAAGGGGGGAATGAAGTAATTATACTATAATCTCAACAAATAAATGAAATAATTTTAAATGTTTATACAATGTTACAACCCTGCAAGCTGTAGTCACATCGTTACTTTGGCTTTCTCGTTTTATAGAGTATTTACTATTCTCTTTGCTATATGTTAGAGCGTGCAGGTTTTCAATTTAAAATATAACTGTTATGATACTTGATCATAGGGGCAGTGATCACTTTGGATTTACTTTTTTTCTTCTCCCAAGTCACCTGCAGCCTGTATTGCTGCAAGTAGTGGATCCTTTTTTACTGTGGATGGTCAACAGACATCTAAAGATAGTCGTCAAGGTCAATGGCAACGGCGGAGAAGACTAGATGGAGCACTAAATAGAGTACCAATCGGATTTTATCAAAAAGTATGGAAAATTTTGCAAAAAGTGAGTGTAACACAGTGTTGTTCTTTATTCCCCTCTTAAAATCATGAATCTGTCTTGCTGACATGTGGCATAACCATTACATGACAAAAACAGGAAAAATTGATTGATCACTGTGGCATTATTAATAATTTACTCTATTGTTCTTATTGTTGCAGTAGTATTTTTTCTTTTTCTTTTGTTTTCTTTCCCCTTTCTGGTATTTTTGAGACAGGGCTTTTCTGTAGCTTTAGAACCTGTCCTGGAACTACCTCTTGTAGACCAGGCTGACCTCAAACTCACAGAAATTCACCTGTCTCTGCCTCCCGAGTGCTGGGATTAAAGGTATGAGTCACCATCACCTGGGGGTATTGTTTCTGAATAAGGTTTTAAAAATCAGAACCTCTCTGTTTGGGGTCATAGTTGAGCACTGTGAGATTTTGCACTGTATTTGCTGCCAGTCAATAATGTGATGCTGTGGCTCGCTTTCTTTGTTGTTATTATGAGAGTGGAAATGTTATTTGCAGCTCTAAGCTGTTCATATCCATTGTCACTACCAAAAGTAGGTGGAAGCAAGAATGGTGGCACACGCCTTTAGTCCCAATACTCCGGAGGCAGAGGCAAGTTGATCTTCGAGAAATCCTGTCTCGACAAGGAAAACAACAAACAAACAAAACAGTGAAGTATATGGGGAGTTTGCAGAAGTTGCTCTTACTGATATTTTTTCTTAGATGAAAACCACTAAAGTAATAAAAAGCTGCAATGATACTAGCAGTTAAAGAACACTCTTGTTTTATTGTTAATTTTTTATATTTAATCATTTTATATATGTGTGTGTATACACACACATACATACATACATGCATTCATGTGTGTGTGCATATGTGGTACCAACAGAGGACAGAAGATGTCATTGGGTCCTTTGGAACTAGACTTAGAGGAAGTTGGTTGTGAGCCATCATGTGGGTACTGGAGACTGAACTTGAGTCTTCTGCAAAAGTAGTAAGTGCTCTTAACCTTTGAGCCAACTCTCCAGCTCTGATTTATTTATTTGGAGACAGGGCTTTGTTATTGTCCAGGCTGGCCTCCAAATCAAGATCCTCCCACCTTAGCTTCCTGGAGTCCTAGGATTGCTGGCATGCACCACCACTCCAGGCCTAAATAAAACTCTTGGTGTGATTAATATTTGTTCCTGTTTCTAAAGCATACTTTATAAACGACTTGTAAGGGCATATCACGTCATTATGGTAGTGATAGGAGACGGCCAGGAAGACCATTAAGTTCATTGATTGGTCTCATTTATACAAATACAGATTGGTTTTTCTCGTCTGAGATGAGTCTCATATATCTCAGGCTGGTCTCATTGTAACCAAGGATGACCTTGAACAGATGCCCTGCCTTTACCTTCTGACTGCTGGGATTACAGTTGTGAACTACCATACTCATTCATTCATTCATTTATTTATTTTACCAAAATCAAAACCCAGACTTAGGGTCTTTTTTTTTTAAGTTTATTTATTTATTTAGTATACAGTGTTCTGTCTACATGTATGCCTGCAGGCCAGAAGAGGGCACTAGATCTCATTATGGATGGTTGTGAGCCATCATGTGGTTGCTGGGAATTGAACTCAGGTCCTCTGGAAGAGCAGTCAGTGCTCTTAACCACTCTCTCCAGCCCCCCAGACTTAGGGTCTTAAAGTAAGAGATAGAACACATGCCTTTCCAGGCATGAATGTTACAATAATTCTAACATGTTTCAAAGCTACTAATTGTCTGTACAGAGATTACTTGAGTATGGAATATTGCATGTAATTGTCCAAAAGAGCCAATAAACCTGTCACTCATATGTGGTTGCTTTATATAGTGTTTCGGCATTTTTGGAATTTAAAGTATGTGATTAATAGAGTAAAGAATTTGAATGTATCTGTTGATTCAGGTATGGTGCTTCACACACGTACTTGAAGGCACTAGGGAAATGAAGGCAGGACTTCAGTGTTCAAGGTCAACCTCAGCCACATAGTGAATTTGAGACAGATTAGGTGACTTGTAACCACGTCTCAAATAATAATAATGATGATAATAGCATTTATTGAGCACCTACTGAATTCCAGACTCTGTTGTAGGTGTTCCTATGAGAAAAGTCTAAATAGCCAATAATTTCTGTTCTTGTGAAACTTATATTACTTATAATAAGTAATAAACAGTAAATAATGTATTTAAAATGTTAAAAAGTGGCGGAAGAATAGGACAGGATAAGAGCATTAAGAAGGGACTCAACTACAACAAGTAGAAATGGCTCACGTACATTAATATCTACTGTGAGTCATGTCCGGCAGCCTCAGTCTCTTGAAGGCCTATCTGCTTTCTTAAAAGTGTGTGTGTGTGTGTGTGTGTGTGTGTGTGTGTGTGTGTGTACATGATCGTGCATGTGCGTACGCACACTATGGTAGGAAGCACATACCATAGCATACATGTGAAGGTCAGAGTACAACTTTGTGGAGTAGGTTCTCCCTTTCCTCCCTTGCTTGGGATTATGGGAGTAATCTCTTTTTATTGGACTTGCTTGGCTGTTGGCAAGGACTTTTTATCTGTCAAGTCATCTTGCCAGGCCTTGAAGGCCTCCTGGTAATGACTCTGGGACCTGCATGATACTCTTCTAGGTGGTCTCTGAATCTGGTGTCTAGTCTATCCCAGAAAGATTGACCCTGCCCACTCCACTACCCTAAGAAGAGGATGAACTATGGTAGTCCCATCCTAAATCTTGGCACTTAGAAATCATGAACCCATTCTTGGGCACATGGACTACAGGACCTCCAGCTGGCCTGTGGTTGCTCAAATCATAACCTTATTAATATGAAGTCTCTCCTTCTTGCCTCCCAGCTCTTACTTCATCTCTGGTCATAACATGTTTTTCTACCTTGCAGTGTCATGGACTTTCTGTGGAAGGTTTTGTTCTTCCTTCTTCAACCACAAGGGAGGTAAGATTCTGTCCTTTACATATACATGATGGAAAGCTCGCCTGTCTGAAATATTTCAGTTATCAATTATGAAATTGATATTTATTGAATTTATATTATTGAAACTAAATATATCAGTTAGTTGTCAAAGAAACAGACTTATCCTGTTATGAATCAATTATAGTGGTATATTATTTGTGTTTTAATAAATAAAGCTTGCCTGAAGATCAGAGGGCAAAGCAGTCATACTAGTGAGCCATACAGGCCAGGCAGTAGTGGCGCACACTTTTAATCCCAGGACTTGGGAGATAGACACAGGGATCTCTGTGTCAAGGTCACCCTGGGCTATATGAGATTGAATCTATCTAAAAGAGAAACAGAGCTCACACAGCATTTGGGATCGCACACCTTTAATCCCAGCACTAAGGGGGTGGAGAAAGGAGCAATATGGCTGGGCAGAGAGAGGAATATAAAGGGGAAGACACAGGAACTCAGTGGAGTCTGAGCATTGTGGTCTAGAGCACTGCAGGATCACCCCTTTGTCTGAGCCTTGGTAGAGGTAAGATCTCTCTAGTGGCTGGCTGCTTTGCTTTTCTGATCTTCAGCTTGAATCCCAGTATCTGTTTCTGGGTTTTTACTACTCATGCTGCAGTCAATTGACTATAAAATGCATGAAGGAGGTAAAAATGGAATGGGAATATTAGACAATAATAATATGGTTCTAGTTTTGCTGAGCGAGCATGAGGACTTGAGTTTGCATCCCCAGCACCCATGTAAAATAAAAATGGGCATGGCTGTGCAAGCCTGTAATGCCAACTCAGATGTAGTGACAGGTGCATTGCAGGTGCTTGCTGGCCAGTTAGTCTAGCTGAAATGGAATACTCCAGGTTCAGTGAGAGACCCTGCCTCAAAAAAAAAAGATGGAAAACAATTAAGAAAAGCATCTCATGTCAGCTTCTGGCTTCCACATTTACCCACCTACATACATGTATATAACAGACACATACACACCATAAACATGGATAATTATTTGTTTTATTAATAAGAATAGCTTTTTGCAGTGACTAAGTTTTTTCTACGTGAGACTGGAAGTTGGAGAAGGCAAAAAGGCTACAAACATAAGAATGAATGGCTTCCTATATTGTCTCATCTATTTCACCCCAACCTTTCTCCAATAGGATACTTGTAGACCTGTGCTGATATTGACATCTAATCATATTTTAGAGCAGTGGTTCTCAACCTTCCTAATGCTACCACCCTTTAATACAGTTCCTCATGTTGTGGTGACCCCCAACCATAAAATCATTTTTGTTGCTATTTCATAATTGTTATTTTGTTAGTTATGAATTATAATGTAAATATCTGTTATGTGACCCCTGTAGTAGACTTTCTTGGACTGCCAGCCCCCAAGTCATGGCATGGAGACTTATTATTAAGTATGAATGCTAAAGCCTTAGTTTATGCTTGTCCCACTAGCTCTTGTAATAACCTGTTTCTCTTCATCTGTGTTTTGCCTCAGGGCTTTTTACCTTTCTTTCATTCTGTATGCCCTACTTTCCATGCTTCTGCATCTGGCTGGCTGGTGATGTCTGACTGGGTGGCCCTGATGTCTCCCTCTCTTTCTCCATAATTCTCATTCTTTCCCTACTTTCCTCTCCCTCCTCTATCCTCCCTCTCCCTCTTCTTTCCTCCTCCATCTCCGTCCTCCCACTCCCTCCTCCCTCTCCCGTCTCCATCCTCCCTCTCCTTCTTTCCTCCTCCGTCTCCGTCCTCCCACTCCCTCCTCCCTCTCCCTTCTCCATCCTCCCTCTCCCTCTCCTTCTTCCCTCCTCCGTCTCCGTCCTCCCACTCCCTCCTCCCTCTCTCTCTTTCCTCCTTTCTCTTCCTCCTCTCTCTCCCTCTCCAGCCTAGATCTCTCCTCCTACTTATTCTCTCTGCCTGCCAGTCCTGTCTGTCTCTCTTCTGCCTAGCTATTGACTGTTCAGCTTTTTATTAGACCAATCAGATGCCTTGGGCAGGCAAAGCAATACATCTTTACACTGTTAAATGCAGCATAAACAAATATAACACACCTTCACATAGTTAAAGTAATATTCCACAACAGAGCCCTCCCCAAGGTCACTACCCACAGGTTGAGAACCTCTGTATTAGAGTAACTTTCTTTCCCAACTTAGTGAATTAGAGTTTCCAGAGAGGAAACTTGAGCATTTGTAATTTTTTAATCTATAGACTAACACTGATAAATAATCATGGTTGGAAGACATTGCCATGAAACACAGACACTGGTTATCAGATGTTTTGGTATTTTGTACTAACAAGCTAGGACTAGTAAGTTTAGAAAATATAAAATTCTCAAAAACTGGTGGTGGTGCCAGTATCAGCTGGATGTGCCAGGACTGAATGCTAGTGTAATGTCTTAGACCTCTACTGTTGCATACAAGCCGTTTGTGTAATAAAGAATGCCACACTGCCTGCGTAAACAGGTGTATTCTGTGCATTTAAACAGTGTTGAAATATTAATTGTAAAAATGTAAACCTAATACCTTTAGGAGTCTTCAAAGAACTTTCACATTATTTAATTTGATTTTTCAGTTCAATTTTGTAAGACACCTAAGAAGAGAATGTCTTTCTCAGAAAGTTTATAGATAAGGAAACAAGCTTAGAGATTTCCAAGATATGCAAAGTCATTTGCTCCTGATACAAGTTTTTAACCTGTCTTTAGACTCCAAATATACTTGCTTCTATAGAATATAAACAATACAATTTTACCAAAAAGCATTTCTCCATCTACTTTACCCCAAAATAACTGCAGTTAAAATTTTTTAAATTTTTAAAATGTGCATGAGGGTTTTGCCTGCATGTAGGTATGTGCACCACATGCATGCCTGGTCCCTGTGGAAGTCAGATGGAGTTGTAAGCCACCTGAAATGGTTGATGGAATTGAACTCAGGCTCTCTGGAAGAGCAATCAGTGCTCTCTTAACCACTGAGTCATCTCTCCAGCCCCATAACTGCATTTCTTAAGGTCCGTTTTATTCTAACAGTCTGTAGCTACTTCACATAATTCTACTCATTATACACACACACACACACACACACACACACACACACATATCATTTCAAGTTTGACTTCAGTGCTTTCTCTCTGGGTCATAGATTTAGTGTCATAAATAGCTTCATAAAGCCTCATGAAGTTACTATAGTATGTCATAATTTATGTATTTATTGCCATGTTTAGGTTATGTCAAGTTTCACATGTGTGACTGATGCTACCATAAACATTAGTACACATGGAGCTTTTTCTTCTCTGGATTATTTCCTTAGGACAAACTCCCATAAATGATATTCTGGGTTAGAGGGCATTGATACTTTTTTTTGGCATTGATACTTTTATGACTCTTGTTATACATTACCAGATTGTGCCAATTTACACCATTTCATTAAAGGGCTGCAGTTACCGGACTTTTTACTGCTTTTCAAAGAAAAGGTTTTCTAGAAATTGATTTTCACTTTTTCTATCACAGATGACCCCAGGCGAGATTAAATTCTCTGTCCATGTGGAGTCTGTCCTGAATCGTGTACCTCAACCAGAGTACCGCCAGCTTCTGGTTGAAGCTATCCTTGTCCTTACCATGCTGGCAGATATTGAAATTCATAGCATCGGAAGCATCATTGCTGTGGAAAAAATAGTACACATTGCCAATGACTTGTTCCTTCAAGAACAGGTAGGCTGCCTAATGTGATGCACACTGCAGTCACAGCATCTGGGAGTTGCAGGCAGGAGGATTGGCAGTTCAAGGCCAGCCTCAGCTACATAGTGAGTTCAAGACAAGATTGGGCTACATGATACCCAGAACATACAACAAATGTTTCCTTCTCTTACCCACTGTGAAAGAAGACAAAAGTATCCAAAATTTTCTAAACAGTCCTAGTTTTAAGTGTTCTGGGATGTTATCAGGCCATATATGAGAAAATATAAACCATTTTAGACATAGACTTGAGATTTAGAATGTCTACAGTGTTTGTGAATTCAGGTGGTTTAGAAAGAAATAGAACCAAATACTATATGGAGGAATACAAGCCAAAATCAGCAGTACTAGAAGGTGGAAGTCCCGGTGTAGTTCTACTGGGTTATCTCCAAGTGTTAACATTATTTCTGTTATTAACAGACATAAATCATTTAATCAATTATTGATATTTAATTTTCAAAAGTGCTTTATAATAGAAAATTCTAAGTAGTAATTAAAATAATTTAGAGTCTAGTGGCAAATGCCATGTGTAGAAATTCATATCCATCCTTCATAACCCTAAGCCCCCTCTGCTTATACAGCCAAAGAATAGGCAATGGGAAGGAAGCTCTGAGGTGTATTCATCAGAGTTTGGCTTGGTAGGATTGGTAACCTTTTCTTCCCACTGTTTTCCCATCTTTTAAAACCAAATAGAAAACCCTTGGCGCAGATGACGTCATGTTGGCAAAGGATCCTGCATCTGGCATCTGTACTCTTCTGTATGACAGCGCACCCAGTGGCAGATTTGGCACAATGACCTACCTCTCCAAGGCAGCTGCTACCTACGTGCAGGAGTTTCTGCCACACAGCCTCTGTGCCATGCAGTGAGGGCTGTGGGTTCTGGCTGCTGGAATCCTTTCAGCATCTGGTCCCTGTGTTGGTTGATTGTGCATGGAACTGAAATGTTAACACCTGACCACTCTCCATCCCTCCCAAGAAGAGAGAACTTTGCTGATAATCTCACTACTTTTGAAGAAAAGAACCCTCACTTGGAGACTCACTCCAGTGTAAAGGTTCAACTGGGTCTACAATCACTATCCTTGCTTCTTTTATGGTTCAGAAATGTCTGCATGTGTTTTTACTCTGTAGAACTGTTACCAGCTTTGTTTTCTAACTCCTTTTGAGGAACAGGTATTAATAAGTTATTCTGAAGACCTTATTCTTATTTCTGGGCTTCCTTTCTTTTTTGTGTATATGAGTGGTAGGTCTTAATTGGGTCATTATTTCAAGAGAGTAGATGCTAAATTGTTGGATTTTATACTGCTGTAATTTTGAAATGTCTATTTTAAGTGCCTTAAGAAACACCAACACCAGATCATGGCTTCCTTCTTCACTCGAAGGCTGATTCATTTTGAGTGGTGAAATAGTTTCTTTGTCAAATATTGCCTTTTGATGTTGACCTTTCTATATCTGCCCATGTTGCCTGCTCTGTGGTGAAATATTAAAAAGTGTAAGCTCACATGTAAGTTTAAGGATTTCTATGTTAATACTTGAAGTCACATTTTATGAGGACTGATGCTACCAGGCACATATTTGAGGACACATGGAATAACCCAGAAAAAAATGGAGCCAGGAGCCCAATTCCAGAGAGGAAGGGAAAGGGGAGGTTATGCAGGTGGTGCTTTACACACAGGGAGTCAAGAGACCACCAGAGGCAAGTAGGTTAATCCTTGCTGGAGCACAGCCCACATACAACACAGAGAATAACTGAAGCCTTGAGCAAAGAGAAACCCAGCAGTCCAGTCGGAGCACCTCTTTCCTGTTCTTTTGTTCTCCACCTCACCTATTCACACCCCGCCACACTCAAATCTCTCCTTCTCATCTCCCTCCTATCCCATATCTGTTCTTCAATTCTTTCACCTATGTTTGTTTTCACTTCTCAGTTATACTACTTATATCCTTTAATCTTGGTATCTGTGGCCAAATATCTATTCTTATACATATTTCTGTGTGTTTGTAATGGTTAAATAATTGTATTTTGAGTGTGTCTGTCCATCTCTACATTTAATGGATTGAATAACCATGTGGGTAACATTGCAAACCAAGCCTGGTCATACTCATTGCTAATCTGAGAACTTGAGAGGCTGAAGCAGGAGGATCGTGAGTTCAAAGCCAGCCTGGGCTACAAAGCAAGCTCCAGGCAAGCCTCAGTATGAGACCCTGTCTTGAAACATTTTAAAGCATGGGAGCTATGCAGCTGGCCTCAGATTGACACACAAAGGATCGCAAAAATATACCTTCCATCCCATTCTCTGGTCCCATGTATAGGTAGCCTGGCTTAGCAGAGGTTTTCTTTGTTTTCCTTGTTTCTACTCGACTCCTCTTTCCCTCAGAGTTTTAAGGGTTTTCTCCCAGAACAGTAATGAGTATGATGGGGCTAGTGAACTCAAAACAGTCACAGAATCGGGAACAGTCTTCCAGGCACACTGTCCAAATGCAGTGAGCTAGCAAACGGGTGGTAGAAGCAAAGGCAGGGTGGCCCCCTTTCCCCTCTCACAGCCATGGGAACACACAGTGAATAGCTTTCTGAGTGCATGGTTTTCCGGTCACTTTTGAGGAGAACATACAACCTGTTTGTCTCTTCACAGCCTATAAGTACCCTAGTCACGGGAAACACACCCAGCACTGCTTGTGGGAACTGCCGCTCCTTCCTGGACCTCTTTTCTTGAACTGACTCCAATGCCTGCAGTTCTCTGGAGTTTCTGACTTGTCTGTTGATGGAAAGCCCAGGCAGTGGCATTTAATTTCTAAAGTAACTTTCCAGAAAACATTACTGGTATTTTGTTCTTTTTTTCTTTTGTTCTTATTTTTTCGAGACAGGGTTTTTCTATGTAGCTCTTCATGTCCTGGAACTCACTCTGTAGACCAGGCTGGTCTCGAACTCACAGAGATCCGCCTGCCTCTGCCTCCCGAGTGCTGGGATTAAAGGCGTGCGCCACCACTACCTGGCTAAGTATTTTGTTCATTTTAAGAGTGTTAATATGAAGAAAGAAACATGATGGAACTTTTTACAAGCACTTTATGTTTTGAAGTTAGAATAAAGAATAAGAATTTACTGTGTCTGGTGTCACTGCACAAAACTTTATATGTTTTTGTGATTGAAGCTAATTAATTGCCATTTCACATAATGTTTGGATATATTATATACTCAAAGCTTATTAACTGGGTCAAATTAGAGGAGCATTTATAGACCATACATTATTATACCGCACATATGTAAAAAAAAAAAAACAACATAGGTTTAGTGCTTTACACAGTTTACTAAAAATATAGAGTGGATTTTTACTTCATTTCAACTCTATGAGTGGTATTTCTAAACTACTAGAAAGAACTTAAAATAGTTTGTTCTTCTAACTATTATCAGTATTTGACATAATATTGTTTAAAGTACTCATTGGTCATTTCTGTAACAAGAGAGTTCTTAATCCAGCAATGGCAAACAGCGTCTCTACGTCCCCTGATTAGATAGTTTAGTTTTACCACATTCTGAGAATTTGATGCAACTAGCATGGCAAAAGTTGTCACCTTTAGTCATGGTTCACAGAACTGTGTGCATGTGTATGTATATGTGTCTGCATGTCAGGTGCATGTGTATTATCATGCTGGTGTATGTGTATCATGCTGGTGCATGTGTATCATGTCAGGTGCATGTGTATCATGCTGGTGCATGTGAATCATGTCAGGTGCATGTGTATCATGCCGGTGCATGTATATCATGCCTGTGTATGTGTATCATGCCAGTTCATGTGTATCATGCTGGTGCATGTGTATCATGCTGGTGCATGTGTATCATGTCAGGTGCGTGTGTATCATGTCAGGTGCATGTGTATCATGCTGGTGCGTGTATATCAAGTCAGGTGCGTGTGTATCATGTCAGGTGCATGTGTATCATGCTGGTGCGTGTATATCAAGTCAGGTGCGTGTGTATCATGTCAGGTGCGTATCATGCTGGTGCATATGTATCATGTCAGGTGCATGTGTATCATGTCAGGTGCATGTGTATCATGTCGGGTGCATGTGTATCATGTCAAGTGCATGTGTATCATGTCAGGTGCATGTGTATCATGTCAGGCGCATGTGTATCATGTCAGGTGCATGTGTATCATGCTGGTGCATGTGTATCATGTCAGGTGCGTGTGTATCATGTCAGGTGCATGTGTATCATGCTGGTGTGTGTATATCAAGTCAGGTGCGTGTGTATCATGTCAGGTGCATGTGTATCATGCTGGTGCGTGTATATCAAGTCAGGTGCGTGTGTATCATGTCAGGTGCGTATCATGCTGGTGCATATGTATCATGTCAGGTGCATGTGTATCATGTCAGGTGCATGTGTATCATGTCCGGTGCATGTGTATCATGTCAAGTGCATGTGTATCATGTCAGGTGCATGTGTATCATGTCAGGCGCATGTGTATCATGTCAGGTGCATGTGTATCATGCCGGTGCATGTGTATAATGCCGGTGTATGTGTATCATGCTGGTGCATGTGTATCATGTCAAGTGCATGTGTATCATGCTGGTGCATGTGTATCATGTCAAGTGCATGTGTATCATGTCAGGTGCATGTGTATCATGCCGGTGTATGTGTATCATGCTGGTGCATGTGTATCATGTCAAGTGCATGTGTATCATGCTGGTGCATGTGTATCATGTCAAGTGCATGTGTATCATGTCAGGTGCATGTGTATCATGCTGGTGCGTGTGTATCATGTCAGGTGCGTGTGTATCATGTCAGGTGTGTGTGTATCATGCTGGTGCATGTGTATCATGACAGGTGCGTGTGTATCATGTCAGGTTCATGTGTATCATGCTGGTGCATATGTATCATGTCAAGTGCATGTGTATCATGTCAGGTGCATGTGTATCATGTCAAGTGCATGTGTATCATGTCAGGTGCATGTGTATCATGTCAAGTGCATGTGTATCATGTCAGGTGCATGTGTATCATGCTGCTGCATGTGTATCATGCTGCTGCATGTGTATCATGCTGCTGCATGTGTATCATGTCAAGTGCATGTGTATCATGTCAGGTGCATGTGTATCATGTCAAGTGCATGTGTATCTTGCTGGTACATGTGTATCATGCTGGTGCGTGTATATCATGTCAGGTGCGTGTGTATCATGTCAGGTGCGTGTGTATCATGTAAGGTGCGTGTGTATCATGTCAGGTGCGTGTGTATCATGTCAGGTGCATGTGTATCATGTCAGGTGCATATGTATTATGTCAGGTGCATGTGTATCATGTCAGGTGCATGTGTATCAAGTCAAGTGCATGTGTATCATGTCAGGTGCATGTGTATCATGCTGCTGCATGTGTATCATGTCAAATGCATGTGTATCATGTCAGGTGCATGTGTATCATGTCAAGTGCATGTGTATCATGTCAGGTGCATGTGTATCATGCTGGTGCGTGTGTATCATGTCAGGTGCGTGTGTATCATGTCAGGTGCGTGTGTATCATGCTGGTGCGTGTGTATCATGTCAGGTGCGTGTGTATCATGTCAGGTGCATGTGTATCATGTCAGGTGCATGTGTATCATGTCAGGTGCATGTGTATCATTCTGGTGCGTGTATATCATGTCAGGTGCGTGTGTATCATGCTATTGCATATGTATCATGTCAAGTGCATGTGTATCATGTCAGGTGCATATGTATCATGTCAGGTGCGTCATGTCAGGTGCGTATCATGCTGGTGCATATGTATCATTTCAGGTGCATGTGTATCATGTCAGGTGCATGTGTATCATGTCGGGTGCATGTGTATCATGTCAAGTGCATGTGTACCATGTCAGGTGCATGTGTATCATGTCAGGCGCATGTGTATCATGTCAGGTGCATGTGTATCATGCTGGTGCGTGTGTGTCATGTCAGGTGCGTGTGTATCATGTCAGGTGCATGTGTATCATGCTGCTGCATGTGTATCATGCTGCTGCATGTGTATTATGTCAAGTGCATGTGTATCATGTCAAGTGCATGTGTATCTTGCTGGTACATGTGTATCATGCTGGTGCGTGTATATCATGTCAGGTGCGTGTGTATCGTGTCAGGTGCGTGTGTATCATGTCAGGTGCATGTGTATCATGTCAGGTGCGTGTGTATCATGTCAGGTGCGTGTGTATCATGCTGGTGCATACGTATCATGTCAAGTGCATGTGTATGATGTCAGGTGCATGTGTATCATGTCAAGTGCATGTGTATCATGTCAGGTGCATGTGTATCATGCTGCTGCATGTATATCATGTCAAGTGCATGTGTATCATGTCAGGTGCATGTGTATCATGTCAAGTGCATGTGTATCATGTCAGGGGCAGGTGTATCATGCTGGTGCGTGTATATCATGTCAGGTGCATGTGTATCATGTCAGGTGCATGTGTATCATGTCAGGTGCGTGTGTATCATGTCAGGTGCGTGTGTATCATGTCAGGTGCATGTGTATCATGCTGGTGCGTGTATATCATGTCAGGTGCGTGTGTATCATGTCAGGTGCGTGTGTATCATGCTGGTGCGTGTGTATCATTTCAGGTGCGTGTGTATCATGCTGCTGCGTGTATATCATGTCAGGTGCATGTGTATCATGTCAGGTGCGTGTGTATCATGCTGGTGCATGTGTATCATGTCAAGTGCATGTGTATCATGTCAGGTGCATGTGTATCATGTCAAGTGCATGTGTATCATGTCAGGTGCATGTGTATCATGCTGCTGCATGTGTATCATGCTGCTGCATGTGTATCATGTCAAGTGCATGTATATCATGTCAGGTGCATGTGTATCATGTCAAGTGCATGTGTATCTTGCTGGTACATGTGTATCATGCTGGTACGTGTATATCATGTCAGGTGCGTGTGTATTATGTCAGGTGCGTGTGTATCATGTCAGGTGCGTGTGTATCATGTCAGGTGCGTGTGGATCATGTCAGGTGCATGTGTATCGTGCTGCTGCATCTTTATCATGTCAAGTGCATGTGTATCATGTCAGGTGCATGTATATCATGTCAAGTGCATGTGTATCATGTCAGGTGCATGTGTATCATGCTGCTGCATCTGTATCATGTCAAGTGCATGTGTATCATGTCAGGTGCATGTGTATCATGTCAAGTGCATGTGTATCATGTCAGGTGCATGTGTATCATGCTGGTGCGTGTTTATCATGTCAGGTGCATGTGTATCATGTCAGGTGTGTGTGTATCATGCTGGTGCATGTATATCATGTCAGGTGCGTGTGTATCATGTCAGGTGCGTGTGTATCATGCTGGTGCGTGTGTATCATGTCAGGTGCGTGTGTATCATGTCAGGTGCATGTGTATCATGCTGGTGCATATGTATCATGTCAAGTGCATGTGTATCATGTCAGGTGCATGTGTATCATGTCGGGTGCATGTGTATCATGTCAAGTGCATGTGTATCATATCAGGTGCATGTGTATCATGTCAAGTGCATGTGTATCATGTCAGGTGCATGTGTATCATGTCAGGCGCATGTGTATCATGTCAGGTGCATGTGTATCATGCTGGTGCATATGTATCATGTCAAGTGCATGTGTATCATGTCAGGTGCATGTGTATCATGTCAAGTGCATGTGTATCATGTCAGGTGCATGTGTATCATGTCAGGCGCATGTGTATCATGTCAGGTGCATGTGTATCATGCTGGTGCATGTGTATCATGTCATGTGCGTGTGTATCATGTCAGGTGCATGTGTATCATGCTGGTGTGTGTATATCAAGTCAGGTGCGTGTGTATCATGTCAGGTGCATGTGTATCATGCTGGTGCGTGTATATCAAGTCAGGTGCGTGTGTATCCTGTCAGGTGCGTATCATGCTGGTGCATATGTATCATGTCAGGTGCATGTGTATCATGTCAGGTGCATGTGTATCATGTCGGGTGCATGTGTATCATGTCAAGTGCATGTGTACCATGTCAGGTGCATGTGTATCATGTCAGGCGCATGTGTATCATGTCAGGTGCATGTGTATCATGCCGGTGCATGTGTATAATGCCGGTGTATGTGTATCATGCTGGTGCATGTGTATCATGTCAAGTGCATGTGTATCATGCTGGTG